AAGCTGCATAAATGATAAATCCCATGTATTGAATGGATCGAGTTCCATTCTCTTTTTTTTTCCCCCTTACTTGAGTCCTATGCTGCATCACAGATAACATCATGGAGCACTGCCCGGTGCCTGGTGAATCGTAGGCAGAGGGGGAGAAAAAAGAGGACATCCAACGAGGGGCTATGACAGACTGTTCAGTCTCGAGGTCTTTTTTTTCTTTTTTTTCTTTTTTTTTTGTTCGTGGGAGTGTCACCGATTCACCAAGAGGCTCAATTCGTTAAAAAAAAAAAAAATGTTTTCGTTAATTACCCGCCTTAATATTACCTCTCCTGTACTCCACTCTTTCCTTGCACGCTCACCATTTGCACCCACTCCCAAGCCCTAACCCACCCAGGTAGCCCCCATTATCCCCCCCCTTCTCGGTGATGATAGTGTAATTCCAACTTATTCGGTATCCCACTTGCCCGGCCAGGCCCCCCAAAAAAAAAAAAAAAAAAAAACTAGGCTGCCAGCCGGGCCGCCCGGGTCACCTTGTTTTCCCGGGCGGCCCGGCCGTACAAAACAAAACAAAAATTCACAAAACTCGGGGAAAAAAACTATGTTATGCAGAAAAATCAACTGAACAACTTTTGCCTCGGGGTCACATCGAAATTCGTTACCAAGTTTTAAATAAAAAAATGCAATTAAAAAGTTTTGTTTTGTTTTTTGGCCCAGCAGCCCAACCTTTTCCCTGATGATGGCTGTGACGGCAACACAGTTGAAACATGTAGGGAACTTATCGCCTTTCTGCTTCGGTGCTTACCGTATTTTATTATGAAGCAGTTCTTTTGCGCTACCTGAGTGCCCATTCCCCTTTCCTCATTCTCGTTTCCTCACTTTCTCCTACTCATCCAACTTCCCCTCCTTGCTCGTGCGTGTGTTCTTGTGCATGATGATTCGATTGCTCTTATTGGCCACGGAGTTCTGAGTCTGTCTGACGTGCTTCAAGCCGTCCTCGACTCTCATCATACACTCTGGTAGCCCAGAAAAATATATATATGATTTTTAATTTCAATTTGGTAAGTAATTTCGATTTCACCTTGAGGCAAAAGTTGTTAGCTTAGTGCCTTATTTTTGTGATTAACGTAGCTTTTTTTTCAGCTTTCTGGAGAAAAAAACAAAATTGGGCAGTGACCTTCCTTGACCCTTGCCCGGCCGGGCGTTCCGGGACACCCGGTTCGTAGCCCATTACTGTCTTGGATCTTGATATACAGGGGCAGGAAGGCTCATATTATTTATATAATTATATTATCTAATATTTCATCGCAGAGCAGGTTTATGCCCTTAGATACACCAGAAAATCTGGACCAAGCTAAAATGATATAAAAACGAGCACCTGGCAGGATGCCAAAGCTCAGTCACGACAAGCTCTCTCTCTCTCTCTCTCTCTCTCTCTCTCTCTCTCTCTCTCTCTCTCTCTCTCTCTCTCTCTCTCTCTCTCTCTCTCTCCTGTAAAGAAGATAACCCTATACAAATCTTCTGACTAGTAATGAACTTATCAAGAATGGGCACACAGAGACACAGAAAGAGAGAGAGAGAGAGAGAGAGAGAGAGAGAGAGAGAGAGAGAGAGAGAGAGAGAGAGAGAGAGAGAGAGAGAGAGCGCACCTTGCAATAGCCAAGAGAAAGTCTGATGGCTTAAGCTGGATCCCTATGGAAAGCATGATTCCCCCCAGAGCAGGGGTGTAGTACTGTTTGCTAAACCTGCAGAAATTGGTCGGTGGTCACAAAAGAGAGAGAGAGCGACAAAAAGAGAGAGAGAGAGAGAGGCGTAAGAGGCAGAGGAGACAAAGGAGCAAAACTTATGTTTGTCAAAAGCCTGACAAAAAATATTTCACAGGATCTTCCTTTAAGTTACATTAACAAACTGCATAATAAGACAAATGTTTCACTGTTCCCTTCTTTCAGTGTTTCCAATGTTCCACTGCATATCAATCGCTCAAACACATCTCTCTCTCTCTCTCTCTCTCTCTCTCTCTCTCTCTCTCTCTCTCTCTCTCNAAACCAGGACAGTGGTCCCCACAACGATGTCTGCCTGTCTCTTATACACATCTAGATGTGTATAAGAGACAGGATGTGCTGGCTGCCAAACACGTCTCCTATCATCAAAAAACTGCATGCAATTAAAAAAAACAACTAAACTAAAAAATCCATGCATGCAATGTATCCCGCAAAGTCGCTGCATGCACGTGGCAAGTTGGGTCGTCAGAAGAAAAAGGGGGTGGCCGGGCGGAGAGGGGGGGCGAGTGTGGGGAGGGGGGGTGAAGGGGGGGGGCGAGTGTGGTGGGAGGGAGGGAGTTCTCACCATGAATAGGAGGGTGGGTATACCAAGGCGGAGACCGCAGTCGCTACCACCACGTAAGGAAGAAGAGCAGACAACGCCTTGGCTCGGTCGGTGTTGGGCGGCTGCCGAAATGATCTCGACTTCAGCCCCCAGGCTGCCATAGCCACGTTCCCCTCCTTCATGAAGGTCCCGACCCGCCCCTCGTACGGCTTGCTCCTCTTCCAAAAAAATGCCATTCTCGTCCATCGCATGTCCGCCAATCCCTTTCCCGAAATGGACGGCTCACTGCCTCCTCCCCTCTCCCCCTCCTGTCCCTCCTCTGACGTTGCATCTGATGATTCTCTTCCCTGCTCGCCGACTGCCAGGCTAGCACTGGCCCACCCAGCACGCGCCCTCCTCTCCTCACCCCCCTCCCCCGTACGTCTTCGACTACTGCTACTCCTGTTGCTATGGTTATCTTCATCTTGATGGCTCATATCGTATCCTTGCGGGCTATGGTAAACACCACCACCACCACCCGCTCTCGGCTGACGTGGCAGCAGGACAGGACGACTCCCAGTCCCTTCCTCGTGAAGGCTGCTCCCCCAGAGCTCCCCCTCCTGCTGCCGCCTCCTTAGCTGTGATCTGACCACCCTCCTCCGCGTCCGCAACCAACGACACGTGGAAGCAAAAGACCGCGTACGAGATCCATTGAGAGCGCGACACGTGGAAGAACACGTGAGAGCGGCTGTTCGAAGCTGTGCATGTTGCCCAGGAACGGTGCTGACACTTGGTCTCGTTGCGTCCGACCGGTCGTCCAACGACGGACGGATCGTCACTCCCGCTGCTGCCGCTGCCGCTGCCATTCTGGAGGTTGTCAGTCGGTCGTTTGACGATGGTGATCCCGACTCCGGTGAGATAAGATGTGCACCTGATTGGTACCTTAATCAAACCCAGGAGAGACAACACCACCACCACCCTGATTGGTACCTTAATCAACCCAGGATGCAACTTGCTTCTGCTTCTTCTTCAGCTGCTGCTGCTCCTACCCCTGCTCGTGCTGCTGCTGCTCAAACCCCGGCTCGTGCTGCTGCTGCTCCTGCTGCTACTGCTGCTGCTTATGATGATGATCACTGATGATCACTGATGATGATTGATGATGATGATACCCAGGACAGACACCACCACTACTGCTACTGCTCGTGCTGCTGCTGCTGCTGCTGCCGACGATGATGATGCTGACGATGATTCTGACGATGATGCTGATGATGATGCTTTCAGGTGTTACTGGTTGGGGCCTCGATGAGAGGGTGTGTCGCGCAGGAGGAACGTGTGTCGCACAGGAGGAACTTTGTCCCGCTGCTGGGGGGCGCTGATTGCTCCGTGCTTACTGGCTGCCTCCTTCCCCTGCCAGCTCTGACATATGCTGTTGTTAAACAGCTGCGTCCCGGCGGCTCTGCCAATATGAAGAGAGAGAGAGAGAGAGAGAGAGAGAGAGAGAGAGAGAGAGAGAGAGAGAGAGAGAGAGAGAGAGAGAGAGAAGGAATGAAGGAAAAGAAAGCACTGTCAATCACGTCGCAGATTGCTGTCTTCTTCGTCTTCTTTTCTTTTCTTTTCTTTTTATCTGAAATCGTAGATTGCTGTCGTAAGAGAGAGAGCACTCTTCTGTGCAAAACAAAAACCAAACAAAAATATCTTTTTACATATACATAAATAAAGAACGAGAGAGAGAGAGAGAGAGAGAGAGAGAGAGAGAGAGAGAGAGAGAGAGAGAGAGAGAGAGAGAGAGAGAGAGAGAGAGAGAGAACCTTACGCCAGTGACCACCACACTTTCGCCGAAGCGATAGATCAGGAGGCTGCGATGGATGCGAAGCACAATGTCACTGACATACCGCGTGGCCGCGGGCCGCGGGCTCGCAGCCCGTTGTCGATTGAAAAGTAGTGAAACCCGCTCCACTACTAGCCAAATGTGCAAAATGAGAACGAATCTTCAGTTAGAATATGGAAAGATGCACGGGCAAACTTTTTTTTCCTTCCGTGCATGTGGTGAGTGGTGGAGCGAGGCCGTATGTGTATGCGTGAGCTCAGCCCGATAGAAACTCGGAGTGGCAGAACGGGCTTCAAGTTGTTGTCACAGAATCATGAGACCGGCCGACAGATCGAATCCCGGCCACGAGCAAAAAAGAAACGGAAACGAAGACGTAACGGGCCTCGCTCCACTGCTCACGACATCCACAAACGACAAAAAAGAAACATGGCGATGTATGTTGTCATGTTCTAGGCGAAGATTCATTCTCATTTCCATTCAATATTTGCCGGATGGCAGCCCAATAGCGAAGCCAAGCCCAATGTTTTAGGGCGACATTGCTCGCAGGCGCACAGTACGACTGCTGCTGCTGGTCGGTGCATTGTTATGAAACAACGGGGAAGAGTTGGGGGAGGGGGGTGAGGGAAGGGGGGGG